TGACTTGGATAAAAATGGTTTAGAATGTCATATACTGTAGCTTGCACATTTATAGTCTGGGTATCTATTTTAAAGAGGCAGCTGGGATGCGCACAGATGAAGTAGTTTTGTGTAGTCACACAGACACAGAACATCAGAAATGGGAACTAAGTGTGTCTGTCTGCTTTTACAAAATAGTCTCATTTGCTTATAAAAGTGCCTATGAACCACAGACCTGCTCATTTTTCCAAGGTAAAATGTTTGGGGATGGAGAAATTGAAAAAGACAATCTTCTTCACTGAGAATGTAAATCACTTAAGGGTTTCAGGAACCCAACCTGGCAAGGCTTGATTAAACACTAAAATTAGTGACCTTCCATGACTAAGTGATTATACCAAGGGGCTGTAGTTTGAGAAATGAATGGATGATATCAACAGTCATCATAGACTACAACTGCTGGAGGCTGGACAGTTTAAAGAGCTATCACACATAATTCATCAGATTTAATTGGAAGAACATACTTTAAACCTGGGTTGGTGGCACATGTCTGTAATCTCAGCTAGTTGGGGGGCTGAGGCAGAAGAATGGCAATTCAAGCCTGTCTTGGCCTACAGGATGAACTCAATGCCAAGCTAAGCAACTTATGAAGATCCTGTTTCAAATATCAAAGGAAAAAGAGCTGGGTGGGGAGTTGGGGGATATAGCATAGTGAGATAGCACTAGTCCAGGTTACATGAGACCCTGAGATTACCAATATGTTAGCAGATTTATGTATATGTATATGTATATATGCATAATTTCTATGCATACAAGTTGAGTAAAAAAGAGATAGATGATACGAAACATATGCCATCTACTTAACAATTCCTATGTACTTCCCATTGTGAATGGCTGTTGTTAATGTATTTCATATCAGAGATAAGTAACATTATTTACAGCTTAAGAATTAAGAAACAAGAACAGAGGGCTAGGTAATTTAAATAAAGTTATCCAGTCAGGCTTAAGCAATGTCGGAATTATGAATCCAGCTTATTTACCTCTAGGGTCTACCTCAGTTATTGCCTATCTTCTTTTATTTTTTTTAATTAGAAGTTTATTATAAAGAAATAATAAATAAGAAAGATAACACACTGAAATTATCCAGACCCAGGGTGCATAAAAATGCATCTGATAGTAAAGTGTAAAATCCAAGGTAACCTCAGAATGGGTATTCTGTGTAGAAACTCTTTAAGCTGAATGAAATATTCTATTTTTATAATTGACAGATATAACAACTTATATTACAAATTATAGATGTATTTGCCTGAAACTACTTTTTTTTCTGAGACAGGGATTCTCTGTGTAGCTTTGGAGGCTGTCCTGGAACTCACTCTGTAAGCCAGGCTGGCCTTGAACTCACAGACATCTGCCTGCCTCTGCCTCTGAGTGCTGGGATAAAAAGCATAGGCCACCACCACTCCACTACCCAAAACTATTCACACTGTATTTTTTCTTGTAATTTTTGTGTGCAAAAATTCCCATAACTTTTAGAACCCTCTGTAAAGTTCCTGTGGAAATATCTCATATTTAAGAACAGTGGCTGTGAGAAGCCCTAAGTGTACCAGGCTTCCTGTCATTTCTTAAATTCATTTGTGGGTTTGTTTTTGGTACAAGACTTGACTGCCTTGGAGAAGAGAAGTAAGATGTTGTGGCAAAGGCCAAGGAGGGGATCATCTGGGCTCCTTCAGCTCCCTGGTAGCTGATTTCTATGCCGGGCTAAGCATAGCCTCTTGGAAATCTTAACTTCTCCTGTTGTTTATAACTCATATCATTGGACCCTCGCCTGATTCTAAGCTACCTAAAAAATGTGAAATGCTATCAGATAGTGTATTAATTGTCCTCTTGGCAAGTCTTGTGTCTCTCCTTGTTATATTTTATTGGAGTCATTTAGTTTGTGCCTTAGCTGGGGCTCAGCTGCTGTACAGTGCTGTAGCCACATTTTCTTTTGTGTGTGTGTGTGGAGTGGAGAATCGTATTTGATACAGGAAGCTAGTCTACATCCAAATGTTCTGCCTTTTCTAGTTTGAAGGTCAAACAGTGATGGGATCAATATGACTTTTTACTTGGGATTTTGATCTTAAATGCATGCCTTTTCTCCTTAAGCTCTCTGGTGGTTTTATTTCTTCGTATTGATCTTGATTCACTTTGGTAACATATTACATCAAAGACTTTTATGGTGAATCACAATAAAGATAATTCTTGTTTGGAAAAAAGTGAGCGGGATTTTTTTTCTGTGTCCTCATGTGCTATAGTATGTTACATTCAGTTTATGTTTTAAAAAATAATGAATAGAATATTCCTCTGACTCAAAAATTTTTATTAGCCAGCTTTTAAAAAGCTTTTCACACTAATGTTGTTTAAGAATAAGCTTTCTGGCTGGGTTGACAGGGACATCAAAATTAGGGTTTCACTATCTCACAACTAGAGACAAAAATCCACAGAGGTTTTCACCTCTAAATGTTTTTTAGACTGTATTTGAATTTTCTAATTGAATAGAATTGTTAAAATTTTAATATTAGAAATAATATTTTGAATTCTCCCTATAAAGCACTATAAATCATGAGTATAGACTTAAATGTGTAATGGGAATGTGTGGCCTTCGTATAACACTATCATGTGGGAGTTGGGCAGCTACAAATTTCATTTCAGACTGACTCTTTATCCTTTGTCCAAGTGTTGACAGTTAAGTTACATAATAGAACTGAGAAATATTTTCCAGAATGTTCTCTTCTGTTTTAGTGTCAATATTTACTGTGATATCACATGTTCAAAACATTGTAGCTGATTTTCATTTTGAATATTACATAGCAATAAAAAAGGGACATATATAAAATAATATCACCAAATCATATTGGTAGCTATAAAATAAAGTTATAGACTTTATGATGCAGTCTTGACAATAAAAAATTAACTACTTTTTTTTTTTATTTAAGGCTTTTTTTGTGAATATAAAGTTTCAAAGGAAAAAAATGAAGGGAGATGTGTGTCAAATTTTTACTTAATTTCTGATCTAGGAAAGGAATTGTGATATTTATATATCTTTGAAAGGAATGGGGGTTTTCTTTTTTTAATCTTCAAACTTTTAAAATTTATGTTCTAACTTAATTTGCTATCAAAGTAGTAAACAGGACTATATTTCATTGTATCTTTAGCTTTGATGATACCTTTAGTGTTCCTATGTGGATTCTGAGTTTTGCTGACACAATACTTAGGACATTGAGTAACAGGAAGTGATCATTTACGGAATTAAAAAAAAAAAAGAAAAAGAAAACCTTCCTCTTCTATGAAATATTTTTATATGGATACTACTTGTTCTCCTACTGACCTTCCCTCGCCCTTAAGAAGTCATGGAAATTTTAAGATAACATTACAAGAATTGAGCACTGAAACAAAGCGAAGTTGGAAGCGCGTCAGCTTGGCAAATTGACATGCTGTTTTTGTATTTATGTCTTTCAACTTTAACACCGACAATTTATTAAGTGAGACTCTATGCCAGAGCGGAAGCTGCAAATCCTGTTTGGACACCGTTGAGGAAGGAAGCCGGGACTTTATGGGGCACCCCCTTCCTCTCGGCCGCTGACCAGGAAAGCCATCTTTCTGTATGAAAGCTATTCAATCTGAGAGGCGGGGTGCTTTGGGAAGGAAGATGACCTCTCCCTTGTAAAGTGGAATTGCTGTTTCCCTACGGTGACTTAGTCAACTCATTTCCACCAGTGTTTATAAGAACACTTGTGTGAATGACTGTAGTGACAGCAATAATCATTTAAAATATGGCTCATATTCCTGGCCTTCCAGTTTTCCAAGTTACTTGAATTATCAAACATTACTGTCACAAATCGAATGCTTGTGCTGAGGTCCTATAGAGTGGAATGTTTCCTACATGCCAGAGGTTTCCAACATATTCTGCTGTGTAGGAAAAGCATGGCTGCTCTCACTCTGAAGACAGAACAAAGAATTCTATAGTTAGCATGATTTCAAGGGAGCCAAAGACTTTCTGAGATGCCATGGGAGGTAGTGTTTGCTGAGATGTCCTGTTTGCTGGAAACTGCAGGCAGCTAGCATGGAGAGAGGAAATGCTATGTCATGCTGGATGGAACTCAGAGGGACTTGTTGCTGTCAACGTTGTGGATGTGTATATCTTTGTATATCTTGAATGATTTGGGATCTTGACTTCAATTTCAGCTAGATGTTGATTTAATTGATTTGAATTTTGGGGGGATACCAGTGAACCACTGATAGCTTCATAATAAAAATTAGTTTCTTTATCCTTTTCCTTATGACTCTTTAATATTTTAAGGGAATTTTTTTTTATAACTAAAGTAAAACTGCTAAGAAAAGAGGACTATTTTCTTCCCATGTTAGCTTCTTATGTGATGATGTTGCAGCTGCCAGCACTAAAACATTACCAATAAGTAAACTTGGGGCTTCAATTGAATTTCATCTGGTTTTTCATTAATGTAAGTTTTTTTATTCTCCCAGGGTTCATTGCATTACATAATTTCAACCATCTTACAGCCCCAGTCTTTTCTGATTCAGAACAGTTTCCTACCCTGTCATTTCCCCCCATGATCTTGACAATTTTTAGGAATATTGGCCAGACATTTTGGAGAATGTTCATCATATTTGAGTATGAGAAAAATGTAGTCTTCCAAATTTGGGTTTATGTCAATACATCACTTTGAGCCAATGGTTGTTACTTTGTCTTCCTATCAATTACAATGCCACTCTAGAATTAAAAGTTGATTAACCTTGCATTTAGTACTTGACTAATATTTGTTTCATATACAATGATATAGTAGTAAAAATAAGACAAATATAAAAACTGTAAGTAAATTATCCAATCATGCTAGTAGATACAAAATGAGTTGTAAAATACATTTTTTACTGAGGCCAAAAAAATTAGTCAAAGTTAGTTCTGATTTTTCCATTTAAAACACACAGAACATTGTTACTAATATTTCTTTGTCTTTTATTCCTAACAGATTAGAGATGGACAACCAAATTGCTATGTGTTGAAGAATAAAGATTTGGAACAAGCTTTTAAAGGGCTTATTTACTTAGAGATGGAGCTCATATATAATCCAGTAAGTAACCCCAGGATATACATCCCAGCCTCTCGGTACCTAAAGCGCATGGTGTTCAGTCTGTGTGGTCTCAGATTAATGTTAAATATTTCAGAATTGAAGCTGGAGAATAAATGGTATTGTGTTTATAACTCAGTCATAAAATCCATGTTGAATGTTCCAGGTTTCAAATAGTTGAACTAACAGGATTGATGAGGTTTAAATTCTCAGTAGTCTAAATGTCAAGGAAAAATTAAAAATAAAGGAAAAGGTACTCTTTGCCATATATATATATGTATGGCATATGTATATATATATATATATATATATATATATGTATTTTGCATATGTATATGTCATCTACTGATTATACAAATATATGGTTTGTTATACATACAGATATTCCATCCTATAAACATAAATTTTATGTTATATATATTCTATATATAATATATAGCCTATCTGATTAATCTGTTATATGCAAGTTGTGTGGTCTCTAAAACAATGAGTATCAATGATTGTATATCTCTAGAGTCCCAAATTCTTAGTAGTGCCGAAATTGGGAGACAGTCATCAATGTGAGTGTGTTCCCCCTAGTCCCTTCCTTTTCCACTCAAATATGCCATCTGTATAGTTGCCAGAAAGGTGACCCAGTCTGCAGCTTTCTTCTGGGAAGCACTTGTGTATGGGTTTGTATGGAGATTATGTTATATAGCCAAGACAAGGGTGCAGTCACAGGTAGAAATATGTTGGTTGAGAGATACAGTGAAGATAGATTTGCGTTTCAGGTTTTGAAGTTTCCCTTACTCTGCTGGTTTGAAAAAGTCAGGAAATTCCCCTGGGGCTCAGTTTTCCCCCTGTAAACGAGCTAACATGGCCCATTTACTTGCTTTTTCAGGTCGCTGGAGGTAATGAGATTGTCTGTGGAAATGTTCTTATGGACTGAGAGCTGTCATTCCTGTTTTAAGTGCAATTGTTAAAAGTTTAGTCCAAAATGAGAGGAGAAATTTTTGTCATTTAGATTAGCATGAAAATTTAATGAAGCTCGCTGTCTGTCCTGGTTTGAAATAATTCTGTGAATTTATCCAACTGGTGACAAAACTGCCCTAGGTTCAGCCTAACTTACCCAGGGACTTTAAGTCTCTGAGGCCCTGGAAAGTGGCCAGGCATGACTGGACCCACTAGTTTCTGGTCCGTACACATAGCCTGTGGGTGAAAATGTATCATTTTCTGTGATCTCCTTAGCGACTCGGAAAGAGAATGAAGTCCCTGTGAATGCTGTCCTTGTAACAGCCATGTTTTTCCAGGTTAAAGCAAGTATCAGGACCTTCACTCCCAAAGAGAAGCGCTTTGTGGAAGATAGTCGCAAGCTGTCCAAAAAGGTAGGTGGCCAACAACTGGCCTTTGAGTACATTCAGCACCCAGGATCCAAGTGTTTGTGGTCATGGCTGAGTTCTCTTCCACTTCTCTCCTCTCCCATTCCTTTTTCATCTAGACTCATCTTTTTACTCCTTTTTCTTGTCTTCTCTCTCTCAAATAAATGGGGCTTCAGCCAAGTCAATGGGGAGACATGTAAAACATCCATGGGAGAAAAGAGGGGATGTGTGTCCTGCTGTTTCCCAAGCCGGTCTCTAAAAGTGAGCATGGAGCACAGACAACCTAAATTTCTTTGTCTACCCTCTTCACTTGCTTCATTTTTTGATTTCTCCTTTCACAGCTGAAGGCAAGGGCTCTCTGTTCAATGGCTGAAAGAATTTCCCAAGGGACCTAGCAAGCTTCTAGCCTCAGATTCACCTATTTGCAACCTCTCTCTAAACTTAGGGCATATAGGCATTTTATCCCATATTGAATTATCTGTCTTTCTGTCTGCCCATCACCCTGAATTCTTATCAGTTCAACAAAAGGTAAAGATCTAGGATGAAGGGGGAAGGGGAGGAACTTCATATTCCAAAAGAAACACCATGACCTTTGCATTTCTTTCTTCTGTGTCCCTCCCTGTCCTCTTTAGATAGTCCAGGATTTCAGTCAGGACCCATTGTCCCTCTTCAGTTGTGTGACAAAGAACAAAGTGTCCCCCCTTTAAAAGTGTTTATTACTTCCACAGCTTCCTCTGGGTTGAGCAGCTGTGCATGACACAAAGCAGTTAAATATAAAGCAATCTTATCTTCCTTTTGTTTCCCATGAACTTCTGGGCCCCTGCACTGGGGAAAGGATTTAGCAGGCTTCTGGAGGGAAGTAACTGAGTGTTTTGTTTTGGTACCATAGCATTGAGTGCAATAGTCATTGTGTGTAATCCGAGTAAAAGTCTTTATTATTATTATTACCATTATTACTATTATTTTGTTTTTTGCTCTGTTTACTTGAAAGTAAAACATAAGTGGAGATAGGCAGGATGACAGCTTTGCAAGCAAATCAAAATACTGTGCCTCCCACTGGGAGAAAAGAGATTTCCTTTACAAAACAACTTGGCCCCTGGGGTGGCTTTGGCTTGAGAGTAGAGGGGGAATCTGGGGCAAAATTCTCTGGATGGGTCAGGACCTGCCTCAAGTACTATCCTAGATGGTCATAAATTGAACTTTTTACTTATGAAACAAATACTTTAAACCAAGTCTTGAGTTCTGGCCATCACCTGTAGGGCTAAAAACAATGCCTTTTGGGGAGAAAGGTTTGAGACACCTGCTGACAGCTGGAAAAGCCATAGCTGCCTTTCCTTCCTTCGAGTACACCTTTCAGTCTAACTAGTAATCCTAGGGCTTTCCTAATGCTATTCTCTCCAGTTGCCACGATACCAAATAAGATCTTGACACTCACTCCCATTCTGCCTCAATATTGTGCTCACCCACACCATGTACATGCATGCACACAACACTCGTGTACACTGAATGCCTAGTAGCTATACAGCTCTCTCTCATCAGCTCAATTTTGGACTGAACACTATGAAACCAAGCTATTTTTCAGACACTGAGCCATAGCACAGTTTGGAAATTCTTGTTCCCTATGGATGACAGTATTTTGAAATAGTTTTAGAAGTAAAACTTTGTACTTTTTTAATTGGCACTGTACATAATTTTTAAACAGCCAGGGCAGCTGATCTAAGGGAACAACTAGGTAATGTAAATGTAATCCACCTCTCTGTTTTCCATCTTTGAAAACCCAGATCTTATCAAGAGATGCAGACAGAGTGAAAAGACTCACTATGGCAGTATGGAATACAATACAATTCTTCAAAAGCTGCTTTCAGTGGGAATCCACATTGAGAAGTTCAATAGCATTTGTGGTAAGATTTTTTTTTTTTTGTTTATAATGTTCACATTATTTGCTGTTTATTTGTATCCACTCATCTCTCTAAAATATACTATAACATTAGCCTTTCTAAGAATGTACCTGGGTAAACGTTACCCATAAAAATTCCTTAAATTATTCAAATACTATCCATATATTCTTTCTTGCTCAGCTTAAAAATAGCCTTTTTTTCTGTGATGTTTCTGTATGCTTCTGTGATCTTATTGCAGTGTATTTATATAGTCTTTACATGGTCTATAAAAAGTGGCAGCTGGCAAGTAGTATGACTAAATTATAACTAACTGGTTCTACTTTAGTTTTTCAGTAAATCATTCACAAAATTCAATATTGAAAATGTATCCACATCAAGCTTTGCATACAATTGATCTATGCAAATTAAAATGGGACTCAATACCACAACTGAGAAACACTCGCATGTATGAGATACATGAATTTTTCTCAGAACATTGGCCCATTCTCATGAGCATAATTATTATGGAGTTAGAGCTTTAAGAAATTGTCAAACCTCCTGAGTCTGTTATTGAGAGTCCATAGATCTTTTAAGAACATCCCAATTGGCACCACAGCCTGGCCTGGCTTCTCTGTGCATTGTCTCTCGTTTGTAAAGGAATTGGTTCTTACTCAGATTGATAGTGTCAGCTATGGAGTAAATACCTGGATTCCTCCTGCTTTTTATGTATTTTGTACCGGGTATTAATGGTGAATTTCTATACACTTTCTGTATAGCTAAGAGATTACAGTAGTTAGACTATATATGTGTAATGATCCAAGGCAAGTTGGATTCTATTTTCTGTTGCCAGTGCATCCTCCATGTTTTCTTCTGCCTTGCAGCCTCAACTTTAATTTAGATGATGATATCAAACTGATATAGAAATAAAATATAAACAAAGCCGTTATAATATATTTATGTGTGTGTGTATTTAAATATAAACATAAGATATTAGTGCTTCGTTGTGACCCTAAAGTTCTTTCTATATTTATGTCAGTTCTATAAAAGGCTTTTCCTTTGCCACTGGGTAGCATGTTGATTGGTTTGCTTTTATTTTTCTGCATCATTTCAGGGCAATTGTCCTGGCATTTATTTAGCCACCTCCATATCTTACACCCTCCTCAGCTGCTGGCTTTATATCTTGGGCTCCTCTTGCACCTCCCCAGCTCTACTTCCTACCTAGATTCCCTTTCAAAACTTTCCATGGGTCGTTGTGTACAATTATGTGCCTCAAAGGAAAGTCAACACAATTGGTGGCTGCTTCCAGCCAGCGCTCTGGCCAGCCGCATGAGAGGTAGAGGATTTCCCACTTCCACCCCCCCCCCCTTTTCAGTTGATTTCTGGCTCCAAGACTTTAGAAAAACAGATCTGTTGCCCTGGATTCAGTAAGGGGATGACAGAAATGATTAATGGGCTGCCGGCCTGATCTGAAAAAAGATTAAAACAAATGAATGGAAACAGGTTGTCCAGTAAAGAGCACTTCTGGACAGGAAAGGAGCCTTGTCAGGGGACCTCTCCTCCACTGGCTCTGTGTGGGCTAGTCTTCTCTCTGCTAGGCACACCTCAGAGAAGAGCCAGGACCAGGGTGTCAGACACTGCAGCAATAATCCCTGGTACCACAGGTTTCCAGACAGATGGACACCATTGCTGCCCTATCCTCCCTGATTTATTGAAGCCCAATGCCCAAAGATCCAAGGGCTATGAGACTGTGGCAGGCTCTACTATTTACATGAATGGCATATTTCCTTTAACACATCACTGAAAAAAGATAAGATTTAGTCACACACACTGTAGAGTTGACTCAGTATGCCCATGCACTCCAATTTCACAGACCCAACCAACTACGACTAAAATTGACTCTTCAAAATGACATCCGTACTAAACAAGTACAGACGTTTCTCTTGTCTTTACTCATACAAAACAATATCACAGCTATCTGAATTTCATTTGCATTTCATTCCATGATATAAGCAATCTAGAAATGTTCTAGAAGATATGTATATATTACAGTGCTGATGATGACATTGGAAGTGAGGTATTTGTGCACCTGTGGGGTTGGGTATTTGAGGGGGAGAAGTCTTAGAACCAGAACTGCAAGTATAATGAGAGATTACTGTATACATAAACTGTATGACTTATACTGAGTATTGAGGTGCATTCATATGCAAAAGTTTATAACAAAAGTTTATAACATAGCCATTGTGGATCTCAGAGACACCAAGACATTGAAAGGCAGATATTTCCTGCCCCAAAGCTGATGACCCAGGATTTTATTAAGTGCTTTCTGTTACTATATACCACTATTATAATTATCCCTGTAAAGTTTCTGCTATTTAAAATAAGGACTAGCTTGAAATTCACTTAAAAGACAGAATGAAGGGTGTGTGTGTGTGTGTGTGTGTGTGTGTGTGTGTGAGAGAGAGAGAGAGAGAGAGAGAGAGAGAGAGAGAGAGAGAGCTCATGTGCGTGTGCATTCCATACCCTTCTTATGTTGTTTAAATTACATCTTGAGCAATCAAGCTCTTTGGGGGAAGGGATGTTTTGTTCATAGAGTATTCTGTGAGCTCACCAGTTGCCCATAGAGTTCTGTTGGAGCTGTGTACATAGGGACTGCCACTGGGGTGTTGCTGTAGCTTTGAGTATATGGAACTCTGTCAAAGATTGACTATCAGCAGAAAGGTAGTTCCTCAACTAGACTAATCCAGAAAGATGCAATAAGGTTGAGAGAAGGAAGCTCAGCATCCTCCTTGTCTGGCTTTCCTCACAAGGATGATGTGTATATCACCACTGGTTCCCACTATTCGTTCTGCTGTGCTCTAGTTAGGGCAGGATGCTGCTCCTTTTTCCTCATCAACCTAGCACTTCCCTTATGTTCCACCCGCTCGCTTTGGTATTACAGGAAAGAACAGCTTTGTGGCTGTCTGAAGCATAGTTTTAACCTGAGAATTTATTCAGCATCCAGATTGTATTAGAAGGTCCTTATCTTCTATTGGAAATGGGGAAGAGAGATACTGTTAGGTTACCAGAGGGCTGAAAAGAACAATTTTAGTCAATCTATCCTTGATAGAACTTTCCCGTTCTTGCCAGTATGAGAATTAATGTTAGCACATTCAGGGAGAAAGGAAACTATTTATTCAGTTTGCTCCAAAAATAGTCTACTAATTTCATATTCTTTCTTGTTCCTCCAGATGAGACAAGGCATGTACATTGTGGGATTACGTTTATATGGTGGCTATTGATGTTAAGTCTTCAGGGAATCAGGCCATATACACCCTGGGATCCCTATGAGTGTATGTGCTTAGATTCTCCCCTGTTAGAAGCTTCAGTTTAAAATTAAGTCCAGTGAGTATAATGGGACATCAAGAATTCATCATGTTAGATTAGCCTAGCATAAACCCGACTCACTGTGGCGCTTATCCCCTTGATCTTGTGTGGGTGGCTGCATCCCCAGTGCCAGGGGAAGAACACTATCTTGATACTTCTTGATACCTGCTATGTTAAAAATTGCTGTGTGTTGTTGAATTTTTTTTTTTGCAAAAATTCAAATCAAAGAAGAGGCCATCGATTTGAGGGGGGAACATGCGAAGAGTTGTTGGAAGGAGAAGGATATTAGGGGGGCTAAGGGGAGAAAGAGAAAAAGAATCACTATATTTTGATTTAAATTTTGATTTAAATTTTGATTTAAAATATATTTGATATAAGTATTTAATTAAAGTACAAGCTCCAAAATAAACAAGTAAAATGCAATACAACAAATCATACTTTATAAAGTTAAGTTTGCATTACATGGGTAATGGTCAACCATACAAAATCATGTATCTCACCTCAATGTGTTTCGTTTGGCAGAATATTTCAAAGAAAATTCTTCTTCTGTCTTAGATGATTCCAATGTGTTTTCAGAGAAAGCATAAACAACTAGTAAAATTAATGGGCCATTAAAAGAATTTCTACTTTTCTTTAAGGTTTCAAGTTGTCAAAAGGAAGAAATAGAATAGGAAATCATTGTGGACAGTAACAAATGCTTTCAGGTTACCTTATAGAACCAGTAAATAAGCAGGCATTTCTGCTGAGGGTTTCCCCCATAGTGTGCTTATGACAGCACATCATTGGATAGAGGATTAACTCACGCACAAAAAAATACTTTTGCATTGTGATATTATGGAGTATATTGTAGAATCAATTATAAATATGTGATTTTTCTTTTTTGTTTTGCTGTATAGATTTATGCATTATTTCAAGACATGAAGTTACATTATTGAATAAATACATTTTCCATATGATTAAAAAATAGCATTTACAAAGAGATGGCCTCATCACAAGATTACTTTTAATAACAAAGTTCCCATGGTGCTTCTAAAGTAGTGTTGTCTTTATGGCATTGTGTGTTTCCACCAATCTTTCAGACAGACGATTTCTATACTGAGAGAGGCTAGTGTGCAGGGCATTGATGGATTCCTAGTTTTATTAAATTTTTCCTTAGACATTTGCTGTTAGAAAGTAATCTAAATCTACCATATATCAATGGACATCTTCATAAAGCTATGACTTTAACATCTGTGACTTTTTCTCTAAACTTTTTGAGGGTAAAAAATAAAGAATTTTTCTTGAGTTGACAGTCCTTGTAATATGATATGTAATTTAAGGTATTCATAAACCCTTCAAATAAGGTTCAACATAAAACTCTCCATTTCTTAGTCATAGGCACTATTTAACATTTACAGTTTGAGATCCTAATGTATTAGGAAATACAAAACATTTTTACTTTGAATTTAACCTCAACAGTAATAATGGAACCAGCCATTTCAACACACAACAAGCATATGTACAAAACACAGAGAGAGAGAGAGACAGAGACAGATAGACAGACAGAGACAGAGAGAAACAGAGACAGAGAGACAGAGAGAACAGAGGGCACTTAGGAAGTGAATAGGTGAATAGTTCACTCTGTTGAGCAGTTTGCCATAGCAGTTTAGCAAAGCCTTGAG